CTCGCTCCGAGGGGATGAGTCTCAACTGGGCCGCCCTGAGATCCTGTCAGGGTGCCAGGCCTCCAAACGGGAGTCTACAGTGGTCTTGCCCAGTGCTTTGTAGCAAAAGACCTGCTCTCCTGTTTTCTTGTTTGTAACCAAAAAATAAAAGGAGGGAAAACAAACAGCTGGCTATTCCTGAGGGCTGCTGTGAGCCTGTCCAGGGGTGCCTCGAGAGCTCTGCTTAAATCAGTGTTTCCAATTAGGAATCTACAGTGTTTAGAACCAGTTGGGGGCTTTCTGAGTTCTTTGCAATGGAAGAATTGCTCTATTATTTCTCTATAGTCAAAAGCAAAACAAAAAAAGGGAAAACTAACAGCTGGCATGTTCCAAGGGCCGCCTCAAGTCTGGTGGTTCTCGACCTTTTTACACTGTTGCCATAGAGGTGTCACTAACTTGGTGGTACCTCTGTCCCAGGATGATGAATAGGGCTGGAGTCATGAAGAAGGCACCTGCTTAAACAGTTTCTGATAACTAGCAAAAATAGTATCAAACTATGGGCTCTGCTACACATTCAGATTAAAGCTGGATAGAAACCAGTTTTTACACATTTTCAAGCACTAACTTCGTAGCTGGTTGTATCTTTTTATAGCTGGAAAGTAATTTTTATCATGTGATGATTACTTTGCACATGTGGCTGGTCTACATTTATTGTGCTATTAACCAGTTAACTACATAATATATGTAACATGTAGTAGGGGCCTATGATAATTTTAATCTAGAAACAAACGGATTATTGTAATGCTTAATTATTTCTAAATACACTCCCATTGCCTTAATGGAGAGTTCTGCTTAAAAGTCCTTAGAGCTTCCTAATTGGTAAAATATATATTTTAATATCTATAGAAATATAAAATCTTTCTGTATAAAGGATACATATAAATCATTCAAGATTTGCATCCATCATCATGGAAATTTAGCTGGGGGGAGGGGTGAAACATAACAGCTGTTTGGCACTGTTGAGCGTACTACATTACAGTTTAGAGACAAAGTGAGTGTGTAATTGAAGCTACAGGGAATGAGAGTGGGAAATCAGAAATTCTCCAGGCCGTTGAGTTTATTACTAACTCTCAGGAAAACAAATCTTATCAATTCATTGATATTATGGAAGCTGTCGTGACAAATGGTTGAAAAGGCAATTTAGAAATTGAGATTTTTGCTCTCAACAGCAAATAAAACTAGAGTTTTATTCTCCTTTTTCTTTGGGTGTCAGACCTCTGGTGTTCAGGATGTTGATTTGCATTTTATTCGTTTGTGTTGCAGAATCTCGCGTAAAAGAAATTAAGTACCCAGAGTCTTCGTTCCTTCCTGAATGGTGAGTATTTAAATATGGAATATGAAATAAGCAATTAATATGGTGGCTTATGATATAAACAATTGAAGTCCATGAGAATTCTGCCACTTACTTAAGTAAGACTGACATTACAACCCTGGAATCCAGTCATTTGTATCCTTTGTTGCTTTGTCCTATACTGGGGCCACTCGCACCTGTAGAAGCAGTTCAGCTAAACCTAGAATTCAAAAAAGAGGTCAGCCCCAAATAACACTTGACTTAACCCTTGGTTCCAGGAGCTTTCTGGTATTGTACATGTGGCTCACAGGCAAAAAATGATGGTTCTGCAAGCAGCATTAGGTAGAATACAAGCTAAAAATCCTTTTTTATTAAAGGTGGCAAAAGATGGGTGTTAGATCAGGTGTTGCATGCAATTTGGATAGACATGCCCTATTGACAGTGACACTTCATATTTCATCCACAATTAAGAGATATCAGACACGCTTCGTTCCAAGAACTTGGTCTTTCTTGGTTAATGAGATTAATGTAAAAAACTGGACTAGCTCAGAAATATTTGTTTGCATTCTAGTGGATGATTCTGTTCCCCATCACTAAAAACTTAAGGAAATTCTTGACATGATGGGTTTTTAATAGCTTTTCCTGTCACTAATCTAAACTATTTTCCATTTACCTGCCAGCGTTAGATCCATTTGTTTAATATCTAAAAGGGGGTATAGATACCCCCTAATACAGGGACGGGCAATTGTTTTGGGCGGAGTGCCGCTTACTGAGTTTTGGCAAGCCATCGAGGGCTGCATGATAGGCAGCCAGGGGCAGATAAATACTAATTTTCTAAAATTTTTAGGGGCCCCGCGGGCCAGATAGAATGGCCTGGCCGGCCACATCCGGCCCCTGGGCCGCATTTTGCCCACCCTGACCTAATATTTCCCATATTGCCATTTCCACATTAGTTTATCCCTACCCTAACACAGAATCATGGAACTGTGTCAAATGTACATTTCACCAGTCCTTCATGTCAGAACAGCCTAATTGAGTTATAAGAAACCAGTGTAAAGTACAGCCATCCTCAGTCAACTCATCTTCATACAAAGCATGAAGAGTGTAAGAGTGCAGCCCCAGTATCTTTGGTTTGCAGTATGGTTACTGGACTTAGGTCAGCCCTGGAGTAAAAACATGGAGGCTTCTTGCCTAAATTAACTCTGAGGTCTAAGCACAGTACTGTTGTATGACACTGGGCAAAACTCTCACAAAGGTTTTGACAGCTGTTCCTGTCTGCTTTGATTTTTCATTGGGAGTAAGGGTGGGTTCTGTCCTTCCCCTTCTTGACTAGCATGGAAAATATCTTTGAAGCTTTGGATGCAACAAATGACAGTTTAACTGTGTTCGCAGCACCTGGCATAATATTGGGATCCAGTAATTTGTAGAAAAAGAACATACTGATGAGCCAAAGAAGTTGTTTTTTTCACTTGCTTATGCTAAATGCCTCTAACCCTGATTACTGTGTCCTAAAAAAACAATTTGAAGTATCCTTTAAGCCTGTGATCTTCCGTTTTGCTGTGTGTGAGATCCCAAAACAACTTTGTATTTGCAATGAATGGTTCTTTCCATTTTCTTTTCTCATTCCCTGTCAGATTTTGCTGACTTTTTGTTTCTCTGTCAATAGATTGCAACTTGCAACTAATTCCCATGTGTTGGGGGGACCTGGTTCCAATGTTTATATATTCTGGCAGCTCAATAGATAACTTTTGAAAATGTCATCTTATCTTTAAACACTTGTTTTAGTATTAATTGTGTGTGTGTGTTCATTTTTTAATTTCATGTCTGAGACAGCAGATCTCTTTCACCTGAAACATCAAAAGAACAAAAAATGCCAAACCTAACTTCTCATCACAAATGTCCAAATAACAAAACCTCATCAGGAAGTTTGTTTGGGTGCCTTCCCTTTGAAAGTACCTGGAGGAATTCATTATTAACAACACAAAGGATAAAAAAGGGTAAATGGTTAAGTTTGCCGTTTTAAAGACTAGAGTTTAGCTAACTTCACTAAGAAACTGTCCTTTCCAGTGTAACAACTAGATTTCTAGTACTGTATTTCTCCAAGTTTACTACTTAGCATTTAGGAAAGGTGCCACACAGACCTTAATTAAGATGATGTCATAATCATGAGTAGTTTATTTTTTATAAAGAGCAAGCCTTCTTCGTAACTCCACAAACGTTTGGCCTTAAATTACTAACATACTTTCCATTTCCTGATGTTTCTAAGGCTTCCATATAGCCATATGTTTGGCGGAATGTAAAGCTTTTGGGTTATCTTGGTTTAAAACAAAGAGGCCCACAAGGTGTTCTTCCCAATGATATAGCTCTGATTTCATATTTAATGAAAGGAGCTTGACCTATTTATTTATACTATTATTATATATAGTGCTCTAATTATGATCAGATGCTGATATTTTATGCATGCTTTTGTTAAATATCTATTTAAAGCAGAATACACTTCAGCTTTTGGCTTGAGAGAGAGTGAGGAGAACATGGCAATACCAAATCTTACTCAAGGAATCCAGAAGTACCAAGCAAACCGATCCCCTGTGCTACAAATGAAAAAAGGATTTGGATTTGATCCTCCTAAACCTTTTCCAGTGGGGTATACTTCTATAATCAATGTTTTCATATGATAGTATTTCTCCCTTAGAACACTTCAGCCTTTTACAATCAAAGTACACCATGTAAGAGAGATTACCTTGCAACTCTTTGTACGTATTTTATAGGTCTGTAAAATGAATTCCCATCTCTTTAGTTATTTTTATGCCCAAGAGAATTTATAGCTTACACATTCATATCAGTCTTGAGTGATATTATCAGAAGAATAGCATTTAAAAATGATGGGGGAAAAACATCTTGAAGGTATGTTTCTTTTGAGCCAAAGCAGAGATAAAGCAAAGATAACTTTATTTCCCAAACCAGAGTAGGTTCCAGGGCATATCTTCTGGACACCATTAATTCACACACTCTAAAACCAATATTCATTCCATATCATGGTCCAATCTTTTTGCTGGCTTAGATCTGTCAGTCAGGAATTGTAACTCTTCACCCCAACCAGCATCACTATACCAGCAAAATCTACTCTGTACACTATTATGCTGCTAAAACTGCACAGGCTGGGGAGGTCTGGAATAAGCTCATTTAAGATGTTCCAACTGAGGGCACACTATGCTCCAAGGGCAGATCTGACCCTGGACATCATTGCTTTTACTGGAGTACAATCAGCAGTTCTTTCACTGCGCCTGTAGAGCAAAAGAGACATTCCAAGTGCCAGTGGAGAAAAAAAAATGTCCATTCATTCTGAATAAGGGATTTGTCCAAAAGAACTACAAGTTAATGCTTTGACTGGAACTAAGAATGCATGTCTGGGAAATAAGTTGTTCTTATCACCCTTATGGTAAATTCGTTTCTGGATACACTTCTGAAATATGTTTCTCCTTATATCTGGGATCTAGCAGTCTAGAACTAATTTTGTTGCTAAGGTAGAAGATGAGTACCATCCTCTACTAGGCATTAAAAATTCCTTTGATACAGCATATATGTGTTCTGTGTTAGCCAGCAGCCAAGTGTTTTGTAGTCACTGTTGGGAAGGTTTAGTATTAGCTTGAAGTTGATTTTTCCAGTATTTAAAGTGTCTTCAATATTTTGCTTTATCTTGCTAAGAAGCTATTGTGCCTGCTGATGTTTGTGTCTAATAACAGACCAGCTTGCTTTCAGGTAGCACCATATTTATATGTGCTACTAGCTGGTCAAATTCACTATTCAGCAACAAGTATCATTTACCTCTCCCTTCCCCTTGTTCCTTGGTCTTTTTTCTCACAAAAGTTGAAAAAGTTAACTCTGCTTCTTGTAATTATACCAGTGCTAACTGAAAAACAACTTGATGTGGCAAGTAGGCTGGTGTGGAGCCTTCCTTCATTTCTGGTCCCCTTCATTTCCCCTCCCTATCCTCCACCTTACAGTTGCTTGCAAGTGGTTGCCTTGTGTGGAGAAGCTGTTGGAGAACCTTGAGATGCTTCAAGCAGTAAATAGCCACATACCTAAGTTTAATATAAACAATGGCAAAAATCATTAGAGACATTTTGTCTTGCCTACCAATAAAAAGGATTTCTGGTAGAGGAGCTCTTCCCAGACTGAATGTCGTTTATACCAGCAAAAGGATATTTTGGTGGTATGAAGGGCATGCACGCAATAGCCTTTTGCCAACCTAACTTTTCACACCCATAACTATCAGAACTATACTGGAAAAACTTGAGTCTAAACCAAAAGTTAATTTTCAGTGTATTCCCTAAAAATCTATTGTTTGCAGCACAGTATAATAGCTCTGGCATTTTCTGACAACATAGTGCATATTGCAATACTCTCATATTTACATTATAGCTCCTTCATGACAATAATTTTTCTCTGAAGTATTGACTCTTACAGAGAAATATGACTTGTTTACAGTGAATAAGAATGGTCTTTCAGGCTTGCCCTCTTGCTCCTTAAAATTTGCCCCAACTTAGTTCATTATTAAAATTTGACTTTTGCTGTTTTTTACCATGGAATAGCTGAATTCAGTCACAATTATCCCTTTTTTGAGAAACAAAAGAGTTATATAGCAGGTTTGCATTGCAGCCTTTTATGTGTGCCTTTTAATTAACTGACCTTTCAGTTTGCTTGCTCGTGGCATTTTGCAAAGTATCTTTTATGCAGTGAATCATTTCAATAAAGAACTATATATTCTGTTTAAATCTTGTTCTAATTTTTTTTTAGCTTTTATGATAAAAAAGAACCTAATTATGTGCCAGCTACTTGTTTGCTTCCATCTACCTCATCACAGATATTAGGAGATGAATTTTGCAAAAGCAGGTAAGCCTCCATTTTGAGTAATCTTTTACTATTCTTTCCTCAGAAGCAAAATAAATATTCTAATGATATTTTCCCTAGGAATCTTGTTTTTAACACAGTTCCTTTTAAATTTTCTCTTCTAAATATGACATTTTACTGATTTTTATTTGACTGGGAAACTGGATCAGTTACTTCATTTACATGTAAAGATAATTTACTCCATCTGCCCTATCACTTGTGCTTTATTTAGCACCGTTTGTAATTAAAGGTTTCCTCCATTCTCCACAATATCAAACAAGATCTTTGTCCAGTTTTTGGCTTGCCCTTGGTGTTTTCCAGAATCTGAATTATAAGACATTCAATTTGTAGTGCAGTATTGCTTTTCCCATCTATTCTTTGCATTTCTGTAACACTTTTTTTCCCAAGTAGCTCAAAGTGAAGTGAAATCTCAAGTAAAATTATGTGAAGTGCTACATTAGAACTCAAATTCTTTACAGGGTTAAATTCCTTACTTCCCTTTTAAACCAAGGGTTTGTGAACTAGCTGGGGGCATATATAGCCACAGCAAACAGCACCATGGAACCACAGAGGTATTTGCTGTGCTTTTCATCAACATGGAATACTTGGAGTTTGGTCATATGAACAGCTGTTTACTGTGGCTTTTATTTCAGAGTGCCTCTTTTCTGATCATCTGTACAGAACTGATGAGCTCAAGCTCATCAGATAAGTGGTGCCCTTTGAAGCAAAAGCTGCAGTAAACAGCTGAGAAGCTCAACCCACCTTGAATGAAGCAAATTGGTAACCATTCCAACACAAGTGATCCAGAGTCTACTGCATCTGTTTTTATACAAGGGACTTGGGAAATTGGTTTCATCTTACTTGCTCAAAGACACTCAGGTTTATGGCAGAGTTGACTCTTGACTTGCAGTCAGAGCTTCTCATCGGCAGACTGTATTCCGTGCATTTTCTTCTTTTAATTTAGTATGTGTTGTCCTAAAGGGGATGTTTATTCCTCTGATGTATATAGACCCTGCTGTAAAAAGTGTTGCTGTTATTAGTCAAAGTCATTTTTTCTCTCGCCCTTTACAGAACCACTTATTTTCTTTAACAAAGATTGTTAATCAGATTCTCTGTCCCTGATTAAGTGTGTTCTTGAGACCTTCATTACATCATTTAGTGCTAGAAATATCTTCTGCAACACAGACCAGCCTTGGTACTGACTCAACAGCCAGTTCCTTCCTGGCTCCACCCACCCATCTATAAAACAGAAACCTTGCTCTTACCATGGCACAAATTGAACCCTCCTCAAAACCAAATCTAACGGTTTTTCTTAGAGTCCTACACACATCCTTATCCTTCCTCACCTTTTACATAGTATCTGTCTACAAAAGTTTATGCATTTCTGAACAAGTTAGTCTCTAAAGTGTTTCCCTGCCCTGCCTTCACCTTTTTACAATGTGTATTAGTTTTACCAAGAATGGACAGTGTTTAGGCTACTTATGGATAAGGATGAGTATAGAGTTTCATTGACTTCTCAGAGCTGATTCCTTACTTTCAGAAGAATGGAATTTACTCTGCACCATGTCAGCTCCAGCGTTAGAAGTCTTATAATCTTTGTAAAATACTTCCTCACTTTTTACACCTGCTTTAAGTACTCTACTTTCACTTCAGGAGAGAAGTGCATGTGGTGGATCTGCAAAAGAGAGGATTAGATTCTTGGAACCCCGGCTCTCTGAAGATGCCAGACATCCATGGTGGAGGTGGAGAGATGGGAGCTTGGAGGTAAAGAATGTTTAGTTGCAAGCTCAGTTCTTTTATAGAGAAATGTTGGATACTTGGAATCTCCTGACAAGGGTACAGTGAAAGAACATCAAGGGGCAGTGCCCTGGGATAGTCACGTGGGAAAGAAATGTGTGCAAAATATAGAACATACGGGGAAAGGGCTGTTGGTACAGAGATCTTCTAAGGAGAATATTAATATGTATGCAGTTCTATTTTCTTGGTGTTGCATTAGACTCTAGTACAGTGTATTCTTCAGAAAATTGAATGTTCTGTTTTTGGTTCACCTTTAATTCATAATAATTAGCAGTAGAGACCACTGTAATTTGGTGAAATAAAATTCTAGATTGGAAAAAAAGTAAATCAAATAGGAATACTACTTCAAAATAGATGCAAAATAGATGTGAAATACAGAATTAGTGTTGGGAAATATGGCTGCAAACAAACGTAGCCTTTGTTTTGTCATAAAAACTTCTATGGTAGTACAAAACCCTTGCAAATAGGTATCCATGCCCATTGTTGCACCACAAATGCCCAAAATTGTGGCTATGACAATAGGTGGAAAAATTTGTGCTTCTTTTTTTGTGTGGACATCTATTTACTTTTATGGTGGAAGAGCATAGGTAACCCATAGCTGCCCGCGCTCTTCAGGGCTGAGTACGGACAGTCAAAATGCCTGTGGCTGAATTGATTCGATCTTCTCAGGTTAGTCTAAACTGCATAGATTGAAATGATAAGCAGGTAAACAGACATTCACTTTGATTCCGGAATTGCAGCCACATGCCTGCAGTGACCCAGGCTAGAAGCTGGGGGACACTAGAGCAACACTTCCCTGCTGGATTGGATCAAACAGCTTGGGACAAGGCTAGCCTGCTCAGCCTGTGATGAGGGCTTGCAGGGAGGTGCAAAGCATCCTGGGATGCTGAGGAACTGAATTAGCTTGAACCTGGAGGGGATCTGGGACAGAAGTTCAAGAAACTAATTTAACCTAAATCAATTAAGCCTGATAATACATCCATCCAGGTTTATTTTAAACCAGTTTCAGGCATTTTGAAAGTGGTATATGTGCACTTATCTTCTGTGGTGTTACAGATTTGAACCGGTTTCTGATCACTTTTACAGATTTATGTGTAACTTCTGTCCCTAGCCCAGCTGCCACAGGAGTTCCTTTGGAGGATTGGGACCCTGAAAGTCTGGGAGTGCCTTCCAAATTTCCTCACTTGCTGAGGCACACCTGGGGATTCCCTTGGCAGGGGATTCCCTGGCTGCACAGTATCATGCTGCTGTACCCTGACTTGGAACCTTTGGGTCTATGTCATCCAGCGAGGCAGATCAGCTGTGCCAGGACATATCGCAGCACAGCTGATCCCACTTCAAGCATGATGTCTGTTTATAGCCTATGAAACCCTCCTGAATGCCTAGGGATAGACCCTTCCTCATTGCTCCTTGTTTGTTCTCTCTGGCTGTGAACAGGGGATGGTGGACTGCCCAGAGATGTACTGAGGATTCCATTTCACCAAGAAAATTTGTGGTCACATAAAAGAAAAGTATTAGATCTATAAAATATAAAGCAGTTATTTTTTTTAGATAAACTAGTTCCAGTGCTGCCTCCTGACCCAGATATTGTTCCTGAGGAAAGCCAGGATAGTTCAATTCTGATTCTTCCCCTTCCATTCAGTAAGATATGTAGGAGATCAATTTTCTTTACTCTTTATTGTCTATAGTTGTGTCAAAGAACTCAAATTCTGGCCAACTGTGTGTACTTTAACTGGTGTCTTATCTCAAGGGCAGGTTTGCTTGGATTCTGTCCCAGCTCCTTTGATTTGCTTTGTAGCTCTGGGCAAGCGATTTAACATCTGTGTGCCTCCTTTTACCTGCCAATAACATGGGGACAGTACCCTATTTCACAGGGATATTAGCTTTAAAGTCTTTTTATGTGCAAAACACTTACAAGGATAGATGGAAAGGCTGCAAAAATGCATATTTTTACTGCAGAATTCAAGAATCCTTCAGTGTCTAAATAAAACCAATTCCTTCTCAGCCCCCTTTAGAAGTTTTTTGGAGTATCCGTACTGTTGTCTTGCTGTAGAATGTAACCATTCCTGTTTTTCTCTCTACATAAGGCTACCATTTTTATACAATTATATTAAAATCGGGACTTTTTGCTGTGATGTCTCTAGGTCCAGGAAGAATAACAAACTTTCCAGGACATACTTGGGTTCCTCTGGGCATGAATATAAATTTGGTAAGATATAAACTTGGTTTTAGGTGTAGTGCTATCCAAATCATGATAGTGTTTCCGTGCTTAGAAGGAGTGACAGATAAATTATACCGTCGGCAATATCTAACATAGTTAATACCAGTGACACTGAAATGTAAGTGTCTCCAAATATATATATTAAAGACCTTTTTTAGAAAATAGTAATATTTTGCATGTGATAGGCAAAATAAGAAGCAACAGAAAGAGAAAAGTAGGAGAACATTTTTAAAAATGAGACTGCAAACCGGTCATCTTTATTTACCAAAAATATTTTAACTAGAAACTACAATACTTTTTATGTTTTTGGTACCATTTGCTTGTCTGCTATCTGTTTCATTGCAAGTTTGACTGATGTTGAAAGAGAGTCTGACTGTGAAAAACGCATTCTGTGTTTTGAATTGCAGATACCATTCAGTCTTCTTTTTTATAACTTTGCTATCCCAGCATAAAGATTTAATTTGAAACCGGGATGCCTACCTTTTAGTAGTAAATTTAGGCATTGTTTAATGAAACAAAAATAGTCTTTCAAGTAAAGTTAATAAGAACCTTTGAAGGCTTATTTCTTAAGTTATGTTTTGATTTAATGTTTGTATACTCGAGGTTTTTACTCCCCTTTTTAGCTCATCACCACTTCACAGACCCTGTCACTGGAGCAGCACCAGAATACTTGCAAAGACTTTCTCAAATGGCTTCATTAGAATGTGAAACTATAAATGAAGAGAAAAACAAAAAAATGAAAAGGGGAAAGAAGCAAGAGACGTGGACAAGCTGACAGACAAAGAAACAAGCTCTTGAAGATACTGTTTTATGAGCTAAGATTTTATTCACCAAAATACAGAAATTTTTATTTAATTTATAGTATGATATTCCATGATTACTTACCTACCAACCCCTACCAACTGTACTTACCTATCAACCCCCTAAAACCCCTACCAACTGTAAGTAAAGTGTAAATATAAGAAACATTTATATTTAATAAATATTTTATATTTATACAGATAGGTGCATAGTGTTCTTAATACAAAGTTGTGTTTATGCTTAACTAACTGGAAATATTAATCTTCAATTCTAAATATATTTCTACTAGTCTGTTAATAGATCTTCAAATGATTAACAGACTGTGTATTTCATTACCTCTACCACTGAAAGCCTTGTGTTCGCCCATAGAATTCTCTTTACTAGGTTTCTCCTATATTGATAAACAGGTAGACTATGTGTCACATATGATGGTATATTTAATGAGTTTGTATTAATTCACAATTTTGCCACTTGTTCTTGGTTACAGTACAAAAAAACCCAATCTGCATACAGATCTTACACCACATCTAGCTTTCAGTGAGTTTTACTTCTGAGTTCTTAGACCAAAGAAATCTGTTTTCCCTAATACTTTACAATTAAGGAGAAAGAACTTCCACTGGGTGGCAGAATTTCTCCCATATAAAATCTACTATTTATATGTCAGCAATAAACTTGGACCCTGGAGCTGCCCTGCTTTCCACAGTTATGGATATAGGGCTGAGCAAATGGGAGATGGGGGAACATTGCTGCCTGCACAGCATAATTTCTTTCTCACTACGTGTGGCAGCTTATGGAGGATACTTTTGTTATGCTACTCTGAATTTTTTTTCCTCCCCCTATATCAGGGGTGTCAAACTCATCTGGTCCATGAGATGGATGAGTGGTGTGGGGCTAATCCACAGTCTGGAGCAGACCCACAGACCCCTGGCCACATACCTGATCCAGTTCATGTGGCACCTGGGCTGGTCCAGGATGCTGGCTTGAGCAGGTTCCATGGGAAGCATAGCTTAGGGAAACCAATATAGTGTTGTCATCTTTTTGTAAATTAAGACAGCTTGCCCCCTTGTGTTTAGAAACTTTCCTTTAGAGGGAATATAACAGCAGAAGTAGCAGAGTTGCTGGAAACATGGCTTCTAGATAGGTTCTGTCCAGGGGCCAGGCAACAGACAAGGAGCACTCACATGCATCCCTTTCATCCCAGAGCTGCTTTAGGAGCAAGATAAGCAAATGCTGCATCCACAATAAAAAAATTACTGGAAACCTCTGGGTGGAAGCTAATTTTTTCTCTTGCACCTGTCTTGTTCTTGCAAATGGAAAGTAGTCTGTAATCATCACAAACTACTTCAGTCCAGCACTGTTTGTAAAATATACTAGTTTTCTGCAAAGTGACTAGAAAATATTTCTGGCATTGAGTTCCTTCTTACGTAAAAGCTGTTCTACAGTCAGTGCCTAATGTTCCATTAACAAAGCCTGGTGAAGCAATATTGAATATTGTTTACAACTGGAAATATTATATTTCCTGGTTCATTTCCAGGACCTCTGGATGTTTAACATGTAATACCTGTTTTACTATACATAAAAGACCATCCCTGACTTGAAGCATTTGAATGACATCAGTTATCTATTGTATAATTGATGGTACTTCCCCAGACAGAACCCATGGTTCCGGGCTCCATGCAGACGGAGCCTCTGGCTCCTGGCTGCGGGGGCTGCTTGGCACGTTTCCAGGCTCATGGGACCAGAAGCATGGCCACCTCCCCTTGCAGGGTTTGCTCCACTTTGGAGTCTCTGGGGTGCCAGATAGAGGAGCTCCAGGCTGCAGTCCAGAGACTGCGTGCCATCAGGGATGGCGAGCAGGAGATAGACTCCTACTGCCAGGCTCTCCACCCCCTGGAGGCAGAGGGTAGACCAAGGTCACCTTCCAGGACAAGGGAGGACTCAGGGATCTCCCGTACTGTCCAGCCAGGGGTTTGGGCCAAGGTCGTCAAGGGCCCCAAAGCCTGCTACACTAAGGTCCCCTCCGCTCTGGGGCTGTGCAACAGATATGAACCTCTTGCAGCCCCAGTAGAGCCTGTTGAGATGCCAGCTTCTGCAGGCAAGGGAGGATCACCCACTCCTACTCTCCCTAAGACGAAATGCAGAGTGCTCGTCATGGGAAACTCCCTCCTGAGGGGGCAATCTGCTGCCCCAGCCCTCTAGCCTGGGAAGTCTGCTACTTCCCGGGAGCCCTCATCTGGGACATAGCCAAGAGGATCCCAAAGATTCTCTGGCCCTCCAGCCACTACCCTATGCTCCTTATCCATGTGGGCACGAATGACACAGCTCAGAGCATGGATCCCAGTTGGGTCATGAGAAACTACAGGGCTCTGGAAGTGGTGCTTAGGGGGTTGGGGGCACAGGTGGTCTTTTCCTCACTCCTCCCAGTTGTGGGTCATGGGCTGAGGCAGAGATGGGTTGAGGTAGTCAATCAGAGACTGTGGCCCTGGCATCAGCGTGAAAGCTTCAGCTTCCACGATCACAGCCTGCTCTGGTGAGGGAGGCAGTGGGCTGCTGAGAAGAGATGGCCTCCACCTCACTCCGCTGGGGAGGAGGCTCTTCTCAGCCAGACTTGCTCACCTGCTTGACCACGCTTTAAACTGAGACCACCAGGGGATGGGGGGAGTACTGCCACTGCAAGCCCACTGGGCACTTTTTGTAAACCCAGCAGGCTAAGGCACTCAAGACACCCCTATCCCAACCCCAGAGTGATCTGTAGGAAAGGCAAGGGCCCCCAATGGGGGACACACGTGCCTGTACACCAATGCCAGGAGCCTGGGGAACAAACAGGAGGAACTGGTCCTCCTGCTAAACCAAAAGGATTAGAATCTCATAGGAATAATGGAAACCTGGTGGGACTCCACCTATGACTGGGCCACAAGTATAGATGGCTTTACCTTGTACAGGAGAGCTCATGCGGGCAAAAGGGGCAGGGGGGTAGCTCTCTATGTCAAGGAAAGCTACATGTCCCTGCAAGCTGACATGGGCATCCAGGGGGATGATTGGAGACTCTCTGGGTCCAAATCCATGGCAAACAAGGCACAGGGGACACAATGGTGTGGGTCTATTACAGACCTCCTAGCCAGGATCAAGAGCTTGATCAGGAATTTGCCAGGGAACTAGCTGAGGCTGCACGCTCCCGGTGCATGGTTGTCATGGGAGATTTCAACTACCATGACAGCTCGTGGGAAGAGTACTTGGCCACATCTGAACAATTGCAAAGCTTCCTTGTGTGTGGATGAGCTCTATCTGACACAAGAAGTCTGTGGACCGATAAGAGGCAAAGCGCTGCTCAACCTGGTACTGGCAACAGGGGATGGCTTAGCCAGTGACCTAATGATCGAAGGGAAGCTGGGACACAGTGACCACGAGCTGATCACCTTCACTATCCACCGTAAAACTAGCAAGTCAGTCAGCAAAGCAGAAGTCCTCAACTTCAGGAAAGCTGACTTTGACAAGCTCAGGAAGCTTGTGGGCGAGGCCCTAAGGGACCACAGCCCAAAGGGAGGGGAGTTCTATCCCATCTCGGAGGAAAGACAGCAAAAGGGCACAGCAGCCCCCTTGGCTCTGCAGGGAACTAGTGGACCTCCTGCGTCTAAAAAGAAAGGCCTATAATGGATGGAGGGCTGGATCTACCCCAAAGGAGAAGTACTCTGCACTGGTCTGGAACTGTAGGGAACAAATCAGGAAAGCCAAGGCTGCAACAACTCCAACTACATATATCAAGGACAATAAAAAGTCCTTTTTTAGATATGTGGGGAGCCAGAGGAAAAGCAAGGGTAACATTGGACCCCCGCTAAACCATATGGGTCAACAGGCAGCCAACGCCCAGGAAAAGGCCAACCTGCTTAACAGGTATTTTGCATCAGTTTTTCACCAACCCCAAGGGACGGCCCTGCCCAATATGGTATCGGAGGGCCAGGGCAAGGGAAAACTATTGCCCCACATTAATGTTGACCATATGAAGGAACACTTTGAGAGGTTGGACACCTTCAAGTCAGCTGGCCCAGACAGCTTACACCCCAGGGTACTTAAGGAGCTGGCAAGCATCATAGCTCTGGCACAGGCAGGGTTCTTCGAGAACTCGTGGTGCTCAGGAGAAGTGCCCGAAGATTGGAAGAAGGCCAATGTGGTGCCTATCTTCAAGAAAGGGAGGAAAGTAGATCTGGGGAACTACAGGCCCATCAGCCTGACCTCCATCCCCGGAAAGATCTTGGAGAAAATCATCAAAGAGACCATTCTTGACAAACTGGCTGAAGGCAACTTCTTAAGGGATAGCCAGCACAGGTTTGTTGCGGGTAGGTCTTGCCTGACCAATCTCATCTTCTACAACCAGGTGACTTATCACCTGGACAAGGGAGAAGAGATTGACGTCATATATCTTGACTTTAAAAAAGCTTTCGATCTGGTATTCCACGATTGCCTTATAGAAAAACTGGTCAACTGTGGACTCAGCTACATCACAGTCTGCTGGCTGGGGAATTGGCTTTGAGGTCGGACCCAGAGAGTGGTAGCTGACGAAAGTCAATCATTGTGGTGGGCTAAGACCAGTGGGGTCCCCCAAGGCTCCGTCCTTGGGCCTCTCCTTTTCAACATCTTCATTAATGATGTGGACATTGGTGTCAGGAGCGGACTGGTAAAATTCACTGATGACACCAAACTTTGGGGTAAAGCGTCCACACCTGAGGACAGGATGGTGATCTAGGCTGACCTTGACAGGCTCGGAAAATGGGTGGACGAAAACCTGATGGCCTTCAACTCTGAAAGATGCAAGGTACTCCACCTTGGGAAGAAAAACCTGCAGCATGCTTATAGGCTCAGTAGTGCTACGCTTGCTAGCACCATGGCCAAAAGGTGGGGGTCATGATTGGGGGTCATGATTGACCACAAAATGAATATGAGCCACCAATATGATATTGCAGCTGGCAAAGCAAGCAAAACTCTGGCTTGCATCCATAGATGCTTCTCAAGTAAATCCCAGGATGTCATCCTCCCTCTGTATTCGGCCTTGGTGAAGCCGCAGCTGGAGCACTGCATCCAATTCTGGGCTCCACAATTTTAAAAGGATGTGGAGAAGCTTGAGAGAGTCCAGAGGAC